GAAGATCCATCAGCAGCAGCAGATCCATCAGCAGCAGTTCCATCAGCAGCAGTTCCATCAGCAGCACCAGCTGATGGAACTGTTGCATCAGTAGCATAGCTTCAGCAGCAGTTCCATCAGCAGCAGTTCCATCAGCAGCAGTTCCATCAGCAGAAGTTCCATCAGCAGCAGATCCATCAGCAGAAGATCCATCAGCAGAAGATCCATCAGCAACAGATCCATCAGCAGAAGATCCATCAGCAGCCGTTCCATCAGCAGATCCATCAGCGGCAGTTCCATCAGCAGCACCAGCTGATGGAACTGTTGCATCAGTAGCATAGCTTCAGCAGCAGTTCCATCAGCAGCAGTTCCATCAGCAGCAGTTCCATCAGCAGAAGTTCCATCAGCAGCAGATCCATCAGCAGAAGATCCATCAGCAGAAGATCCATCAGCAGCAGATCCATCAGCAGAAGATCCATCAGCAGCCATTCCATCAGCAGATCCATCAGCGGCAGTTCCATCAGCAGCACCAGGTGATGGAACTGTTGCATCAGTAGCACAGCTTCAGCAGCCGTTCCATCAGCAGCACCAGCCGCCATAGTTGTTACCTTAGGAGACCTCCTGCTTGTTTGTCTTTAGTTTATATCAAATTTTAGTGTCTCCATATATTTTTTTGTTGTTGTTGTTGTTGGTTGGTCCCTTATTTCTTTTTTTAGTCTTTTGTTTTTTGGTTATCCTTTTTTTATTGTTTATCTTCGTTTTATATGTTTGAGATTTTGTCATCCATGTATTATTTGTTTATCATTTCATTTGTTTATACTTTGTTTATTTGTCTATGTCTCTTTTTACAATTTGGTTATGTTTCTTTTTCTTTGTTTATCTTTTTTTTTTCTTTTTCTTTTTTGTAATTGGTATTTTGTGTTTTTTCTCTTTTTTTTATTTCCATTTAATCTTTTACCTTGTTTCTTATTGCTTTTTGTTTTTATGACTTCGTTATTATTAACAGTTGTTATCTCTTCCTTGTTATTCCCTTATTTACTGTAAATTGTTTGTTTTACATTTAATGTGTTCTTTTAATTTGCTTTTCTTTTTTTACTTTCTTTTCATTTCCTTTTGAAGTGCTGTTTCCTCCTTTTATTTATTATCCGTTCTCTTCCTTTTCTTTATATTTTCCTCCAAACTTCTCATTCTTCGTTTTAATCATTATTCGTTTTCTTTCCAGTTTCGTTTAATTTCATTTCAAACTACTGCTTCTTCTTTTATTTTTCATTTGATATCTCTTCCTTTTTTCTCTCTCATTCCTTCTACATTTAGCTTTCTCCTTTTATTTCTCATGTAGTTATTTTCTTCTAGTTTCTCTTCATTTTCCTTCAAACTTCTCCTTCTTCCATTTAATTATCATCCGTCATATTTTCCAGTTTCTTTTCTCGTACCTTCTAAATCACACTTCTTTCCTTTTTTATATTCTGTTGTGCAAAGTATGGCAATTTTGGTCGCCAAGGAAACTTTATGCTTTTTCAAACTCAGTTATAACTTCTTCCACTTCTGATATTCCACTTACCGCCATTACACACGCACACACGCGCGCGCAAACATACATACATACACACATACATACATACATACATACACACACACACACACACACACACACACACACACACACACACACACACACACACACACACACACAAACACACACACACACCCACATATTTACATACATAAATATAAAGTCAAATATAGGTTTCTCGAAACAGTCTCATCCGCTCTCTCCATTGAACTACTCGTATATCTATCTTTTTATCTGTCTATTTATTTGTCTATCTACCTATCTGTCTATCCATCTTCTCCTTTTCCTCCTCTTTTTTTTTCCTCTTCCCCTTATTGCAAAATCTGATACAACTCACTCTGACTCGCTTTCTTCTTCTCTCCATCTACTCTTTATTCCTCTTCTCCTCTTCCTTCTACTCCTCCGCCTTCTTCCTATCATCCTTCTTCTCCTACCACCTCCTCCTCCTTGACTTATAATCAGCGAGAGAGAGTGGTCTTAGTGCAGACGAATGAAAGTGGTCTTGCCTTGTGGGTTTGATTTGGAGATCCCCAAGAGACCCTGTGTCCCCGGGGTCGAGGACGCCTCCCACTCTCTCTCTGTTTGTGTGGCGAGACGTGTCCTTTTAGGCGGCGGCTCCCTTTGAGGCAGCTTGCTTCCGCCCGCTGGCAGGTAGGCCGGAATGGCGAGTGCGGTGGCGTTGTGATATCCATTAGCCAGTGGAATCTGTCCGAGATATGACCTCATTTCGGGAACAACAGGAAGCGCTTCCGGAAGGAGTAAGCCGATGCCAAACAGATTGGTCCCACGCTCTAAGCAAGCCAGGGGAGAAGTGACCTAGAATGACCCGAAGGAATCAGTCCGAGTGTGTCCCTTGACCCGCGAACGCCTTCTCCCCTTTACCCGTAGGAGCTGACGTCGCCTAAGTCACGACTCTACCAAACCAAGATAACTACGTGTCTGTTCTGTTAATAAACCAAATAAACAGATTTTTTTTCTCTGGACCTCTCAGATAATATAGTGGTCTTCTTATAATTAAAATTAAAAGCCATTATAGGCATAGTGTGAGGCCTCCCTTCTCTGCCTTCCCTCACCCCCATTTTCCCACCTCCCATTCCTTACCCTTACCCTCTTCCTTTCCCCCTCCTAGCCTCTGTCTCTTCCTTTCCTTCTCCTAGCCTCTGTCTCTTCCTTTCCTTCTCCTAGCCTCTGTGCCCCTTCCTTTCCTTCTCCTAGCCTCTGTCTCTTCCTTTCCTTCTCCTAGCCTCTGTGCCCCTTCCTTTCCTTCTCCTAGCCTCTGTCTCTTCCTTTCCCTCTCCTAGCCTCTGTGCCTCTTCCTTTCCTTCTCCTAGCCTCTGTCTCTTCCTTTCCCTCTCCTAGCCTCTGTGCCTCTTCCTTTCCTTCTCCTAGCCTCTGTCTCTTCCTTTCCCTCTCCTAGCCTCTGTGCCTCTTCCTTTCCTTCTCCTAGCCTCTGTGCCTCTTCCTTTCCCTCTCCTAGCCTCTGTGCCTCTTCCTTTCCTTCTCCTAGCCTCTGTGCCTCTTCCTTTCCCTCTCCTAGCCTCTGTGCCTCTTCCTTTCCCTCTCCTAGCCTCTGTGCCTCTTCCTTTCCCTCTTCTAGCCTCTGTGCCCCTTCCTTTCCCTCTCCTAGCCTCTTCCTTTCCCTCTCCTAGCCTCTGTGCCTCTTCCTTTCCCTCTCCTAGCCTCTGTGCCTCTTCCTTTCCCTCTCCTAGCCTCTGTGCCTCTTCCTTTCCCTCTCCTAGCCTCTGTGCCCCTTCCTTTCCTTCTCATAGCCTCTGTGCCCCTTCCTTTCCCTCTCCTAGCCTCTGTGCCCCTTCCTTTCCTTCTCATAGCCTCTGTGCCCCTTCCTTTCCTTCTCCTAGCCTCTGTGCCCCTTCCTTTCCCTCTCCTAGCCTCTGTGCCCCTTCCTTTCCCTCTCCTAGCCTCTTCCTTTCCCTCTCCTAGCCTCTGTCTCTTCCTTTCCCTCTCCTAGCCTCTGTGCCTCTTCCTTTCCCTCTCCTAGCCTCTTCCTTTCCCTCTCCTAGCCTCTGTGCCTCTTCCTTTCCCTCTTCTAGCCTCTGTGCCCCTTCCTTTCCCTCTCCTAGCCTCTGTCTCTTCCTTTCCCTCTCCTAGCCTCTGTGCCTCTTCCTTTCCCTCTCCTAGCCTCTTCCTTTCCCTCTCCTAGCCTCTGTGCCTCTTCCTTTCCCTCTTCTAGCCTCTGTGCCTCTTCCTTTCCCTCTTCTAGCCTCTGTGCCCCTTCCTTTCCCTCTCCTAGCCTCTGTGCCCCTTCCTTTCCCTCTTCTAGCCTCTGTGCCTCTTCCTTTCCCTCTCCTAGCCTCTGTGCCCCTTCCTTTCCTTCTCCTAGCCTCTGTGCCTCTTCCTTTCCCTCTTCTAGCCTCTGTGCCCCTTCCTTTCCCTCTTCTAGCCTCTGTGCCTCTTCCTTTCCCTCTTCTAGCCTCTGTGCCCCTTCCTTTCCCTCTCCTAGCCTCTGTGCCTCTTCCTTTCCCTCTCCTAGCCTCTGTGCCCCTTCCTTTCCTTCTCATAGCCTCTGTGCCCCTTCCTTTCCCTCTCCTAGCCTCTGTGCCTCTTCCTTTCCCTCTCCTAGCCTCTGTGCCTCTTCCTTTCCCTCTCCTAGCCTCTGTGCCTCTTCCTTTCCTTCTCCTAGCCTCTGTGCCCCTTCCTTTCCCTCTCCTAGCCTCTGTGCCTCTTCCTTTCCCTCTTCTAGCCTCTGTGCCCCTTCCTTTCCCTCTCCTAGCCTCTGTGCCCCTTCCTTTCCCTCTTCTAGCCTCTGTGCCCCTTCCTTTCCCTCTCCTAGCCTCTGTGCCTCTTCCTTTCCCTCTCCTAGCCTCTGTGCCTCTTCCTTTCCCTCTCCTAGCCTCTGTGCCTCTTCCTTTCCTTCTCCTAGCCTCTGTGCCTCTTCCTTTCCCTCTTCTAGCCTCTGTGCCCCTTCCTTTCCCTCTCCTAGCCTCTGTGCCTCTTCCTTTCCCTCTCCTAGCCTCTGTGCCTCTTCCTTTCCCTCTTCTAGCCTCTGTGCCTCTTCCTTTCCCTCTCCTAGCCTCTGTGCCTCTTCCTTTCCTTCTCCTAGCCTCTGTGCCTCTTCCTTTCCCTCTTCTAGCCTCTGTGCCCCTTCCTTTCCTTCTTCTAGCCTCTGTGCCCCTTCCTTTCCTTCTCCTAGAAGGAAAGGTGCTGGTGCTGCCGATGCAAATGCTGTTGCAGCTAGTGTTGCAGATGGAACTATTGCTGAAACTGGTTCTGACGATCTAAATACTCCTTCAGTTTGTACTCCTGCTGCAACTGCTATTGCAGCTGGTACTGTTGATGGAACTGCTGATGAAGCTTGTGCTACTGACGCAACTAAAATTGCAGTTGTGCTGCTGATGAAACTCCTGGTGATGATGGTACAGCTGATGGAACTGACACATCAGCTGGTGATGTTGATGGAAATGCTGCTACAGTTGTGCTGCTGGTAGAACTACTGCTGTTGGAACTGCTGCTGATGGGAATGCTGCTGAAGCTTGTGTTGTTGATGAATCAGCTGGTGCTGCTGATGGAATTGTTGATGCAACTGGCTCCTGATAGAACAGTTGCTATTAGTGTTTTGGGTGGAACTGCTAATGCTGATGGAACAGTCGCTGTAACTGGTGCTGCTAATAAAACTGCTGCTGCAGCTGGTTCTGCTCTTGGAACCGCTGTTGCAGTTGGTGTTGCTGCTAGAACTGTTGTTGCAACTGGTTTGGCAGATGGAACCGCTGCTGCAGTTGGTTCTGCTGATGGAACTGCTGCTGCAGTTGGTTTTGCTGATGGAACCGCTGTTGCAGTTGTTCTACTGATGGAACTTTTGCTGCTGAAACTGCTGCTGCTGCAGTTGGTTCTGTTGATAGAACTGCTGCTGCAGTTGTTCTACTGATGGAACTGTTGCTGCTGGAACTGCTGCTGTAGTTGGTTCTGCTGATGGAACTGCTGCTGCAGTTGGTTCTGCTAATGGAACTACTGATGCAGTTGGTCCTGCTGATGGAACTGCTGCCGCAGTTGGTTCTGCTGATGGAACTGCTGCTGCAGTTGGTCCTGCTGATGGAACTGCTGCTGCAGTTGGTTCTGCTGATGGAACTGCTGCTGCAGTTGGTTCTGCTGATGGAACCGCTGCTCCAGTTAGTGTTGCTGATGGAACCGCTGCTCCAGTTAGTTTTGCTGATGGAACTGCTGCTGCAGTTGGTTCCGCTGATGGAACTGCTGCTGCAGTTGGTTCTCTTGATGAAACTGCTGCTGCAGTTAGTGTTGCTGATGGAACAGCTGCTGCAGTTTCTCTGTTGATGGAACAGCTGCTGCAGTTTCTCTGTTGATGAAACTGCAGCTACAGTTAATGTTGTTGATGAAACTGCTGCTGCAGTTGGTTCTGCTGATGGAACAGCTGCTGCAGTTTTTCTGTTGATGGAACTGCTGCCGCAGTTGGTTCTGCTGATGGAACTGCTGCTGCAGTTGGTTCTGCTGATGAAACTGCTGCTGCAGTTGGTTCTGATGATGAAACTGCTGCTGCAGTTGGTTCTGATGATGGAACTGCTGCTGCAGTTGGTTCTGCTGATGAAACTGCTGCTGCAGTTGGTTCTGCTGATAGAATTGCTGCTGCAGATAGTGTTGCTGATGGAACTGCTGCTGTAGTTGGTTCAGTTGATGAAACTGCTGCTACAGTTAATGTTGCTGATGGAACTGCTGCTGCAGTTGGTTCTGCTGATGGAACTGCTGCAGTTAATTCTGCTGATGGAACTGCTGCTGCAGTTGGTTCTGCTGATGAAACTGCTGCTGCAGTCAGTGTTGCTGATGCAACTGCTGCTGCTGTCAGTGTTGCTGATGGAACTGTTGTTGTGTCGTGATCTACAAAGTTAACTTCGACCCTTGTACGAAATATTTGGGCTGCCACCACCTGGTTAATTCGTCCAGGAACGTATGTGTCGTGTTCGGAAAGTGAGAGGCATGTAGAAGAGTGTAAGTTAAGTTAAAAGAAAGTAAGTGTAAGTGTAGAAAGTACGAGGGTCAACACTGGTTAGCGTGAATAAGGCCGAGATGGAGTGCGTGACGATTGTGCAGACTCGTGGTATCAAAGAAGTTAAATCAATTTACTTTAAAGTCCTTGGACGCGAAGGGGAAACATTATGGAGTCTTAAAAAAACAGTAAATACATTTCACACAAAAGTTTATTAAAAGTATATATCCTTTAGCTCTAAATCACAAAGACAATTTAAAAAGTGGAGAATCACCCCCCCGTATTCCCCAAAACAGGTGGGAGTAAAAGTGCCAAAAAAAAACTGACATTAAGAAAGAACACAACCCTAAACTTTAACACATAAATGAGCACTGATAAAACAAGATAAACAAGATAAAAAGAGAACACTGAACATTAAAATTGAATGTGAAAAAAGTAAATGAACTCACTAAAAAGAACACTGAACAGCAAAGATAAAAAAGAGCACATCACCTCATTTAAAAAGAGCGAAAAAAGTAAAAAGATACTATCTTACCGCCTCTTACTATGTAAAACCTCGCGACCAGGGACCAAACGCCTCATGGCTAAAAGATGCTCTCCCCCCCCCTTGACCTGGCCATTCGGGACCTATATATAACCCTCCCAGCAAGCATGAATGAAAAAATGAGGGGAATCTCGGGTCAAACAAGGTGAAGGTCGCGTAGCTGTCAAGAGATGGCGGTGTCTTCCACTCTTAATAAAATGCCGTTTCCCCTTTATAAGAAAAGACTACTTGATTTAAAAGACATCTTAAAATATGTAAAAGAGTTATCAAAACTTTACTAGAAAAAGAGTAAAAAGATTGGTCCACCATGAGGCAGAATGTGCTCTTTTGTGCCGTTTAGGTGAGAGAAAACGAGAGTAAAAATACAAATCAATATAATTCACAACATAAAAAACATTTACAACACCATAAAAACATATGCAACACCACAACATTTTCCCCTCCACAGCTTCCCGGACACGGGTCATCCACGGGCATGGGCGGCCTTGTTTGCTTTACAGAGGGGAGACTCTTTCTATCCTTCGGTTCCTCCACCACTTGGCTGGAGATTCACTACAGTTGCAGTCAGTGTTGCTGATGAAACTGCTGCTGCAGTCAGTGTTGTTGATGGAACTGCTGCTGCAGTCAGTGTTGCTGATGAAACTGCTGCTGCAGTCAGTGTTGCTGATGGAACTGCTGTTGCAGTCAGTGTTGCTGATGAAATTGCTGCTGCAGTGTTGCTGATGGAACTGCTGCTGCAGTTGGTTCTGCTGATGGAACTGCTGATGCAGTTGGTTCCGCTGATGGAACTGCTGTTGCAGTTGGTTCAGGTGATGGAACTTCTGCTGCAGTTGGTTCTGCTGATGGAACTGCTGCTGCAGTTGGTTCTGCTGATGGAACTTCTGCTACAGTTGGCTCTGCTAATGGAACTCCTGCTGCAGTTGGTTCTGCTGATGGAACTGCTGCTGCAGTTGGTTCTGCTGATGGAACTTCTGCTACAGTTGGTTCTGCTAATGGAACTCCTGCTGCAGTTGGTTCTGCTGATGGAACTGCTGCTGCAGTTGGTTCTGCTGATGGAACTGCTGCTGCAGTTGGTTCTGCTGATGGAACTACAGATGCAGTTGGTTCTGCTGATGAAACTTCTGCTACAGTTGGTTCTGCTAATGGAACTCCTGCTGCAGTTGGTTCTGCTGATGGAACTTCTGCTACAGTTGGTTCTGCTAATGGAACTCCTGCTGCAGTTGGTTCTGCTGATGGAACTTCTGCTACAGTTGGTTCTGCTAATGGAACTCCTGCTGCAGTTGGTTCTGCTGATGGAACTGCTTGCAAAAGCTTATAAATTGATGCCTTAAACATTGGTTGCAGGAGTAGTAATAATGGATGATGGCTTTGGCTCTTTATTTCTGAGAGTACAATAGCAACACAGAAATAAACACACTAGACAATCTTGGGTAAAGTGCTGGGTAGACTGACTTCTGCCCAGCGGGGCAGAAGTCATTCCTCCTGTCCTGAAGCCGTAGGACAAGCGCTGGGCATGGACTCTCTCTGACTGGGTCATACATGGGCCTTTAAATACCCGGGAACTGCGTGTGGGGGCGCCATGTGGGCCATGCCATGTGGGCCTATACGTGCTTAAGTACACGGTATATGCTGTATAATGTGGTGTCCAGGCAGATGGCACCCGTCACAGCATAATGGGGCGACTGGTACCTGCGCCTGCGAGTTCCTGGTCCTTCGCTGGATCTACGGGCGTCCTGGCAGGCGGCGCCCTTCCACATCCTGGGGCGGCTTCATACCTGCTTATGCAGTTAGTTTTGCTGATGGAACTGCTGCTGTAGTTGGTTCTGCTGATGGAACTGCTGATGCAGTTGGTTCTGCTGATGGAACTGCTGCTGCAGTTGGTTCTGCTGATGGAACTGCTGCTGCAGTTGGTTCTGCTGATGGAACTACTGATACAGTTGGTTCTGCTGATGAAACTGCTGCCGCAGTTGGTTCTGCTGATGGAACTGCTGATGCAGTTGGTTCCGCTGATGGAACTGCTGCTGCAGTTGGTTCTGCTGATGGAACTGCTGCTGCAGTTGGTTCTGCTGATGGAACTGCTGCTGCAGTTGGTTCTGCTGATGGAACTGCTGCTGCAGTTGGTTCTGCTGATGGAACTGCTGCTGCAGTTGGTTCTGCTGATGGAACTGCTGCTGCAGTTGGTTCTGCTGATGGAACTGCTGCTGCAGTTGGTTCTGCTGATGGAACTGCTGCTGCAGTTGGTTCTGCTGATGGAACTGCTGCTGCAGTTGGTTCTGCTGATGGAACTGCTGCTTGTAGTGAATGCGGGAACGAGTGCAGCGCCGTAAAGCCTGTTAAGACACAGACCAACAATTTGCATTTGCAAACGAGCCTTGGAAGTGGCGGGTATTGCCCGTATATATACCCCTCGTTCTGCCAAGACAAAGCAAAGACGGAGAGAGAACGAATACGGCTACTTCCACGGTTTGCCAGTCCTGTCCTGCGCAGCGGCAATTCTGTAAGCACGTGGGGAAAATCTCCGAGATGTATATTACTATTTCTGATTTGAGATTACGAGTGTTGCTCTTGTAAATACACCGTGTACCTTGACTTTATTCTCTTTCTCTTAACTATATTTTAAAAATTCCGATTGCAACATGGAGCCTCCAAGAAAATATTTATTATTTATTTTACTGTCCATGAGCTAACGGCAATGAAGTACTAATGAAGTAATAAGGTAATCAGCAATAAAGTATAAAGATAACGACTTTTAAACTAAGGAATTCAAAAATAAAATACGTAAATTATAAACCTTTAAAAATAATAAGATGAACATCATGCTATAAAGAACTTTTTACCACGCCTACCACGCTACTTTACTTTGCTATACGACATGCTGCAGTTAGTGTTGCTGATGGAACTGCTGCTGAGGTTGGCTCTGCTGATGGAACTACTGATGCAGCTGGTTCTACTGATGGAACTGCTGCTGCAGTTAGTGTTGCTGATGGAACTGCTGCTGAGGTTGGCTCTGCTGATGGAACTACTGATGCAGCTGGTTCTACTGATGGAACTGCTGCTGCAGTTAGTGTTGCTGATGGAACTGCTGCTGAGGTTGGCTCTGCTGATGGAACTACTGATGCAGCTGGTTCTACTGATGGAACTGCTGCTGCAGTTAGTGTTGCTGATGGAACTGCTGCTGAGGTTGGCTCTGCTGATGGAACTACTGATGCAGCTGGTTCTACTGATGGAACTGCTGCTGCAGTTAGTGTTGCTGATGGAACTGCTGCTGAGGTTGGCTCTGCTGATGGAACTACTGATGCAGCTGGTTCTACTGATGGAACTGCTGCTGCAGTTAGTGTTGCTGATGGAACTGCTGCTGAGGTTGGCTCTGCTGATGGAACTACTGATGCAGCTGGTTCTACTGATGGAACTGCTGCTGCAGTTAGTGTTGCTGATGGAACTGCTGCTGAGGTTGGCTCTGCTGATGGAACTACTGATGCAGCTGGTTCTACTGATGATGGAACTGCTGCTGCAGTTAGTGTTGCTGATGGAACTGCTGCTGAGGTTGGCTCTGCTGATGGAACTACTGATGCAGCTGGTTCTACTGATGGAACTGCTGCTGCAGTTAGTGTTGCTGATGGAACTGCTGCTGAGGTTGGCTCTGCTGATGGAACTACTGATGCAGCTGGTTCTACTGATGGAACTGCTGCTGCAGTTAGTGTTGCTGATGGAACTGCTGCTGAGGTTGGCTCTGCTGATGGAACTACTGATGCAGCTGGTTCTACTGATGGAACTGCTGCTGCAGTTAGTGTTGCTGATGGAACTGCTGCTGAGGTTGGCTCTGCTGATGGAACTACTGATGCAGCTGGTTCTACTGATGGAACTGCTGCTGCAGTTAGTGTTGCTGATGGAACTGCTGCTGAGGTTGGCTCTGCTGATGGAACTACTGATGCAGCTGGTTCTACTGATGGAACTGCTGCTGCAGTTAGTGTTGCTGATGGAACTGCTGCTGCGGTTGGCTCTGCTGATGGAACTACTGATGCAGCTGGTTCTACTGATGGAACTGCTGCTGCAGTTAGTGTTGCTGATGGAACTGCTGCTGAGGTTGGCTCTGCTGATGGAACTACTGATGCAGCTGGTTCTACTGATGGAACTGCTGCTGCAGTTAGTGTTGCTGATGGAACTGCTGCTGAGGTTGGCTCTGCTGATGGAACTACTGATGCAGCTGGTTCTACTGATGGAACTGCTGCTGCAGTTAGTGTTGCTGATGGAACTGCTGCTGAGGTTGGCTCTGCTGATGGAACTACTGATGCAGCTGGTTCTACTGATGGAACTGCTGCTGCAGTTAGTGTTGCTGATGGAACTGCTGCTGAGGTTGGCTCTGCTGATGGAACTACTGATGCAGCTGGTTCTACTGATGGAACTGCTGCTGCAGTTAGTGTTGCTGATGGAACTGCTGCTGAGGTTGGCTCTGCTGATGGAACTACTGATGCAGCTGGTTCTACTGATGGAACTGCTGCTGCAGTTAGTGTTGCTGATGGAACTGCTGCTGAGGTTGGCTCTGCTGATGGAACTACTGATGCAGCTGGTTCTACTGATGGAACTGCTGCTGCAGTTAGTGTTGCTGATGGAACTGCTGCTGAGGTTGGCTCTGCTGATGGAACTACTGATGCAGCTGGTTCTACTGATGGAACTGCTGCTGCAGTTAGTGTTGCTGATGGAAATGCTGCTGCAGTTGGTTCTGCTGATGGAACTGCTGCTGCGGTTAATGTTGCTGATGGAAATGCTGCTGCAGTTGGTTCTGCTGATGGAACTGCTGCTGCGGTTAATGTTGCTGATGGAAATGCTGCTGCAGTTGGTTCTGCTGATGGAACTGCTGCTGCGGTTAATGTTGCTGATGGAAATGCTGCTGCAGTTGGTTCTGCTGATGGAACTGCTGCTGCGGAATGCTGCTGATGGAAATGCTGCTGCAGTTGGTTCTGCTGATGGAACTGCTGCTGCGGTTAATGTTGCTGATGGAAATGCTGCTGCAGTTGGTTCTGCTGATGGAACTGCTGCTGCGGTTAATGTTGCTGATGGAAATGCTGCTGCAGTTGGTTCTGCTGATGGAACTGCTGCTGCGGTTAATGTTGCTGATGGAAATGCTGCTGCAGTTGGTTCTGCTGATGGAACTGCTGCTGCGGTTAATGTTGCTGATGGAAATGCTGCTGCAGTTGGTTCTGCTGATGGAACTGCTGCTGCGGTTAATGTTGCTGATGGAAATGCTGCTGCAGTTGGTTCTGCTGATGGAAATGCTGCTGCGGTTAATGTTGCTGATGGAACTGCTGCTGCAGTTGGTTCTGCTGATGGAACTGCTGCTGCGGTTGGCTCTGCTGATGGAACTGCTGCTGCAGTTAGTGTTGCTGATGGAACTGCTGCTGCGGTTGGCTCTGCTGATGGAACTGCTGCTGCAGTTAGTGTTGCTGATGGAGCTGTTGCAGTTGGTTCTGTTGATGGAACTGCTGCTGCAGTTGGTTCTGCTGATGGAACTGTTGCTGATGGAACTGTTGCAGTTGGTTCTGCTGATGGAACTGCTGATGCAGTTGGTTCTGCTGATGGAACTGTTGCTGATGGAACTGTTGCAGTTGGTTCTGCTGATGGAACTGTTGGTGATGGAACTGTTGCAGTTGGTTCTGCTGATGGAACTGCTGATGCAGTTGGTTCTGCTGATGGAACTGTTGCTGATGGAACTGTTGCAGTTGGTTCTGCTGATGGAACTGCTGATGCAGTTGGTTCTGCTGATGGAGCTGTTGCTGCAGTTGGTTCTGCTGATGGAACTGCTGCAGTTGGTTCTGCTGATGGAACTGCTGATGCAGTTGGTTCTGCTGATGGAACTGCTGATGCAGTTGGTTCTGCTGATGGAGCTGTTGCTGCAGTTGGTTCTGCTGATGGAACTACTGATGCAGTTGGTTCTGCTGATGGACTGCTGCTGCGGTTGGCTTCTGCTGATGGAACTGCTGCTGCATTTGGTTCTGCTGATGGAACGCTGCTGCAGTTAATTCTGCTGATGGAACTGTTGCTGATGGAACTGTTGCAGTTGGTTCTGCTGATGGAAATGCTGCTTGCAGTTGGTTCTGCCTGATGGAACTGCTGCCTGCAGTTGGTTCTGATGATGGAACTGCTTGCTGCAGTTGGTTCTGATGATGGAACTGCTGCCTGCAGTTGGTTCTGTGATGGAACTGTTGCTGATGGAACTGCCTGCTGCAGTTGGTTATGCTGATGGAACTGTTGCTGCAGTCAGTGTTGTTGATGGAACTGCTGCTGCGGTAATGTTGCTGATGGAACTGCTGCGCAGTTGGTTCTGCTGATGGAACTGTTGCTGATGGAACTGCTGCTGCAGTTGGTTCTGCTGATGGAACTGCTGCTGCAGTTGGTTCTGCTGATGGAACTGCTGCTGCAGTTGGTTCTGCTGAAGGAACTGCTGCTGCAGTTGGTTCTGCTGATGGAATTGCTGCTCCAGTTAATTCTGCTGATGGAACTGCTGCTGCAGTTGGTTCTACTGAAGGAACTGCTGCTCCAGTTAATTCTGCTGATGGAACTACTGATGCAGTTGGTTCTGCTGATGGAATTGTTGCTGCAGTTGGTTCTGCTGATGGAACTGCTGCTGCAGTTGGTTCTGCTGATGGAACTGCTGCTGCAGTTGGTTCTGCTGATGGAACTGCTGCTGCGGTTAATGTTGCTGATGGAAATGCTGCTGCAGTTGGTTCTGCTGATGGAACTGCTGTTGCAGTTGGTTCTGCTGATGGAACTGCTGCTGCAGTTGGTGTTGCCGATGGAACTGCTGCTGCAGTTGGTTCTGCTGAAGGAACTGCTGCTGCAGTTGGTTCTGCTGATGGAACTGCTGTTGCAGTTGGTTCAGCTGAAGGAACTGCTGCTGCAGTTATTGCTGCTGATATCAAGGCTTGTCTCTCTGGACTTTAGTGCAGCTTTTGACACTATTAATCACAAAGTCCTTTCCTTTTCATTTTATATACAAGGAATGTGTTGACTTATGTTGATAATACTTCTCTCCCTACTAGTATTCCTTCTCCAGCAACCAGGGAAATAGTAGCTGACAGTAGAGCTGATAATTCAATCGTGGCGATCGCGCTGGAGCATGAAATTAAATCACTTCAGCGGATAATCTGAAGCTCTTAGGTATAACCCTTGATTCAATGCTTACATTTTAATTGCAAATGAGGAATATGACCCGGGGAGTTTCATCTAAGTTAGGCATCATTCGCAAATGCAAGAAGATTTGTGAAGATGACAACACTACTCGTAGATGCTTCTTTTCTCTTATTCTACTTCATTTTAAATATTGTTCTCCCGTGTGGTTATCTGCTGCAGTCAATTTCACTAAAATTCTGTGACCTTCAATTCAGTGACATTTGATGCAAGTCGATCATCTATATCTGTTTTCTAAATGTTTTTGATGTTATGTGTAGGCTTTGATACAGATTGCCTTCGTAGACTGTAATTTCTCCGACTCTTGATAAGATTGAAATATAAGCTAATGTGTTTTTACTATGTAAACAGATGGTAATTGTCTATGTTCTTTTTCATTCTTTGGTAGGTGTGATACTCGATTTTTTCCAGTGTGGACCTTTATATGGCTTAGCATAAATATCTTAATTACAATGATAATAATGATGATGATAATGATAATAACAATAATGATAATGGAACAGCTACTGCAGTTGGTGCTGCTGATGGAACTGCTGCTGAGGCTGGTGCTGCTGATGGAACTGCCGCAGCAATGAGTGTTGCTGATGGAACGGTTTTTAATGATGGTGTTGATATTGCAACTTCTACTGCAACACATTTTTTCTTCGACCTTATCACTAAGGCGATGGTGAAGAAATAAAGTTATTCTTATTCTCTCATTACATGTCTTTGATTTTTCTCTTACTTTTTATTACTATCACTATTCTCGTCAGACATTATTTCGTCTTATATTTTTAGTTTCACTCTGTCTACATAGCGATTTGCTTTGTTTATTACTAATTAACACCGAGACCAAATGTAATTATCTTGACCTCCCTAAAATCAAATTATTAACATTCCTTCAACGGACATGTCAGTAAGGACGAAAATAGAACTTAGCCCCTAATTCCTATAATTCATTCTTGTTTCATTTTTATTTTCAAATTATTTATCCGTTACATTTGCTTTTACGTGTGATTTTCTTCAAATTTACGATTGTATTTCGAATAGCTTAGCTGAACAAGAGTTTAACTTTGTTTTTAGCTGCCTTTTTCCTGTGGTTTTATTCATTTTACTTTAATCGTTGTCACTCATCTCTTGTATTTTTGTGTTCATTCGATTTATCAGGGAATAAGCGCTTGAATTTATCCAATGCATGCCACCCCCCTTTTTCGTAATATTAGCCAATAGTATGTTCATTTTTTTCATTGCCATATTCTTGACATTTATAATTCAATTTATACAAGTAGACTTCCTCTTACGCTTCTCCGATCCGATATGACCTTCCATTCATATGTTTGTGTATCGCGACGTCTATAACCCAAAAAAACAAAAACAAAACAAAATATATATTCTCCATAGCTAAGCTAAAGATATATGTTATTTCTATACTATTTATGCAGCTCGAAGTACTAAAGCTTTGCTTGTTTGCTTTTGATCTCATCAATTTTGATCATGGCTTTATACAGCCTGTTGCACATGCAGCTTACACCCTTAATTCCACAACTAGGATATATGGTACCGAATAAATGAAACGTGAATTACTAAATCAATATTTTTATATATTACATATTTCTTACGCACCACGTACAAATCTCGGAGATTCAGCCAGTGTTACGTTATGGTAGATGGGTTGCATCTACCATTTGAACTGGTCTCTATCTCTTTATGGAGTGTTTGTGGTGAGTTTGAATTCCTACTGGTATGGTAGGGTGCTGAAGGTGAAGTGGGGAGCCAGAGAGGATCCTCAGTCGGCTAAGGGCTGGGTAGTCCTGAGTTGCTGATCTTGGTTCCGGATCCTGCGGCTTAAAAGTGCACGTGAGCTGTGTAAGCATTCACCTTTGATTTCATGGTATTACTACACCCTCCACACCCCTTCTCGCTACGCCTTTACTTCAGGTATATGGACAAGGTTCACAACGGTATTTCAACCAGATGTGTCAATCCTGCAAACCACACGCTTTCGCCTCAAAGCACATCAGTGCTATGCAACCATGCGGTTGCATAGCAATCGACCCATCGCTTTGGCGTTGCCATCCTTCCATACCGATTTTCATGGAGCCCGCTGATCACGGCCTCCCATTTCCCGCATCATTTCCTTACTGTACCT